GGCAGTTTCCTTCCCAAAAGGACATTAGTGAACCAGATGGGTTTTCCCAACAATCAACAATGGATTCACAGTCATCATTAGATTCTTAATTCCAGATATTTTTACTGAATTCAAATTCCACCATCTGCCGTGGCAGGATTCGAACCCAGGTCCCCAGAACATTATCTGGGTCTCTAGATTAACACTCCAAAGACAATACACCCATCACCTCCCATAGCCAAGGTTGTTTCCCCGGGGTGGGGGAGACTAAAACTAGAGGGCATACATTTAAGGTAAGAGGGGAAAGATTTAAAAGGGACCTAAGGGGTAACTTTTTCACACAGAGGGTGGTGCGTGCGTGGAACGAGCTGCCAGAGGAAGTGATAAATGCATGTACAGTTACAACATTTAAAGGACAGGTATGTGGATAGGAAAGGTTTAGAAAGCCAAACCAAGGCAGTATGGACGAGTTGGGTGAAAGGTCTGTTTCTGTGCTGTATGACCGTATAACTCTATGACTTCAGAGAAAATGTTTCCCTTTGTGAGGGACCTGATCAAGGGACCACTTCATAAAAGATAGTCATTAATACATGCACTAAATCCTCAGGAGAAGTTTCTGCATTCAGAGAGCAAACAGTACAGATATATTTCAGGCAAAGCTGGAGAAGTACTTGAAGGGGGAAGGATGGAGGATACACCGACACAGGGTGAAGTGAGGATGAGTGGGGAGAAACATAAACACCAAAGTTGCGGGCCAAATAGTCTCTCTCTGTGCTGTTAATATCTCGTGACGGTGGAAAAATGAGACCAGCACAGTAGCCTGCTGTTTCTCCAGTGTTAGCCACAATGTAGTACGGTTTGCTGAATAAACTCTCACAAAAACTTGCAAATACCTTCTTGAGGAGGTCCTGCTGTGAACAAGCAACACACTAAGTGTAAATCGTAGAATATCTACAGGCCATTTGGCCCATTGAGACCACACCAACTCTCCAAAGAGAATCCCACCTGCGCCCAGCCCCCCGACCCTACTCCTTTATTTTTCCATGGCTAACCCACTTAGCCTGCACATCCTGGGATACTATGGGGCAATTTAGCGTGGCTAATCTGCGCATCTTTGGGCTGTGGGAGGAAACCGGAGCACCCGGAGGAAACCCACACAGATACAGGGAGAATGTGCAAACTCCACACAGACAGTCGCCTGAGGGTGGACTCGAACCCGGGTCCCTGGCACTGTGAGGCACTGTGCCACCCCTAAAGTTGACAAACCAGGGGCAAATATCAAGTTTTAAAGTGGTTGTTGACAGTAGCCTCCAAACTCAGATAGTAACCCATTTCTAAATAATAGGAGGCCATATACTTAAATAAAATTACACAAAACAAAAAAATCCCATAGTGATCGATTCAGGTCAAAATCTTGTGAATTACTAGCACAGAAACAGGACAAGCTACTCCATGTCAGTGTTTCTGTTTCGCACCAGCCTCCTCCCTGTCCCTTTGATTGTACTTCATCTTCTCCAATAGAACCTGAAAGTTAATAAATCACTCATAAAGCAGTTTGCAATGCGGCTGATTCACTCTTCAGTGCAATGTCAACATTTTTAATAAAAGGGTGCTTCAATACCCCTCAAACGCAGCACAAAATTTAACAAAATATGCCTTTCAGCTGTTTAAACAGTATACAACACCCCTTGGCTATAGTTTACCTCTCAAATCGGAGATGGTGGTTCAATGGCACTGTCACTGCTCTTGTAAGCCCAAGGCCCAGGCTAATGCTTCAGGGACATGGGTTCAAAATCATACCTCAGCAGCTGGTGGAATTTAATTTTGGTTAATAAATCTGATGGCCATGACAACTACAATCGATTGTTGTAAATCCCATCTGGTTCACTGCTGACCTTTAGGAAGGGAAATCTGCCATCCTTACCCAGTCTGGCCTACACGTGACTCCAGACCCACAGCATTGTGGCTGCCTTCTGAAATGGCTCTAGCAAGCCCCTTAGCTCGATGCAATTAGGGATAGTTAACAAACACTAGCCAACACCCACATCGCATTAAGGAATATTTTAATTTTGCACACAATTCATGTCTTGAATGTACCTATCAACTGAAACAAAATTGAACATTCTAGCAGTAAGAAAAACACAATTTAACTATAATAAAACAGAACTGTGGATGCTTAAGATCCGAAAAAAAGCAGAAATTGCTGGAGAAACTCAGCATCTGTGAAGAGAGAAAACAGAGTTAATGTTTTGGGTCCAGTGACCTTTCTTCGATTCTCACTGGACTCTGAGTCCACAGGATCAAATTCACAAAAGAACAGGAAAACAACAATCAACTTCCCTTCCTGGATGTCAAGGTGGAACGCGTGATGATAACATCAGTAAAAGGTGTGTAAAAATTAGGGCAATTTTTACTGCTATCGATCTTGTGATAAAATGCTTCTAATAACACATTTAGACTAAACTATTGTTTCTGCTATGTGAAATGATAACAGCTGCAATCTTAAACCTGTTCATAGAATCGTAGAGTCATACAGCACAGTAACAGACCCTTCGGTCCAACTTTTCTGTGCTAACCAGACATCCCAATCTGGCCTTGTCCCATTTGCCAGCATTTGGTCCATATCCCTCGAAACCCGTCCGATTCATGTATCCATCCAGATGCCTTTTAAATGTTGTAATTGTACCAGCCTCCAACACTTCCTCTGGCAGCTTGTTAATCCTCAGGTCCTTTTTAAATGTTTACTCTCTCACCTTAAACCCATGCCCTCTAGTTTTGGACTTCCCCACCCTGGGGAAAAGAACTTGACTATTCATCTTATCCATGCCCCTCATGATTTTATAGCCTCTACAAAGTCATCCCTCAGCCTCTGATGTTCCAGGGAAAAAAGCCCCAGGCTATTCAGCGTCTCCTTGTAGCTCAAACCTTCCATTTCAGGCAACATCCTTGTAAATATTTTATGCATTGCCAAATTCCCAGCTTCTGACATTAGTCTTGTAGCCACAGTGTTTACAAGGTAAGTCCAGTTAAGTCAATGGTAAACATCAAGATATTGATGGTGAGGGATTCAGAAATGGCAGTGCCTTTGAAGTGGTTGGATTCGCTCCCTTGTTGGAGATGGTCGTTGCCTGACACTTCTACAGCAGAGATGTTAAGTGTCATTTCTCAGCCCAAGTCTGCTTGCTGCCAATGTCTTGCTGCATACAGACACAGGCCGCTTCAGTTTCTAAAGAGGCACAACTGACGTTGAGCAGAGTAGTCATCAGCTAACAACAAAGAAAGGTTTGCAAGCAAGATTTTTAAAAAAAAAATTGACACATTTGAGCAGCGTTTGCTAGTTTTATACATTAGTATGTATGGCTTTGGTTTCCTAATACTATCCTCCACTGTAGTGGTGATTCAAGTGGCTGGAAACAAATTACTTATAACTGTATTGTAGCAATACCACCCAGAGATGCCTACTTGCAGTGTAAACATGTTGGAACCATAAAGTGTTAAGCTATCAACTCTTTTAAAATAAATCACAGCTGACTGCCCCTTTGTCGGGCAGTGTGTTAACTTTCTATGCCTGTCACAAGAACACAGCTCTTCACTGAGTGTTTTCCAGGCTTTTTTTTTGTCTAGGTTAATGCATTCTAAATGGAAAAAGCTGGGAGTCAGCAGTGAGATGTTAGGGGATGGTGGGATATCACTCTTGTTGTGGACCCCTGGTCCATGTGGTCTTTTACACAGACTTTTAATTCTCAATCAAGCTGCAGGCTTGAGAATAAGTGAACAGCTTTCGTATGAAACCATAAGATACAGGAGCAGGATAAGGCCATTCATCGGGTCTGCTCTACTATTCAAAGAGATTGTGGCTGATCTGATAATCCTCAATTGCATTTTCCTGCCTTTTCCCATAACCATTGATTCCCCTAACAGATTAAAAATCTATCGCAGCCTTGGATATACTCAATGACCCAACCTCAACAACCCTGTGCGATAAAGAATTCCACAGAGCCACTACCCTTCTATAGAGCTTCTATAGAGTCACAGAGCACGGAAACAGACCCTTCAGACCAACCAGTCCATGCCGACCACAATCCCAAACTGAACCAGTCCCATCTGCCCGTTCCTGGCCCATATCCCTCCAAACCTTTCCTATTCATGTACTTATCCAATTGTCTTTTAAACATTGTGACTGTGCCCAATGGAAGTTCATTCCACACGCAAACCTCCCTCTGTGTACAAAATTTTCCCCTCGTGACTTTTTAAAATCTCTCTCCTCTCACCTTGAAAATATACCCCCTGGTTTTGAAATCTCCCATCTTAGGGAAAAGACAGCTACCATTAACCCTATCTGTACCCCTCAAGATTTTATAAATCTCTATTAAGTGACGTAAAGGGAGAAGAAATTCTTTCTCATCTCCGTCTTAAATGTGCAACCCCTTATTCTGAGATTATTCTCTCTGATCCTAGACTCTCCCATAAGGGGAAACAACCTTTCCACATCTGAACCGTCAAGTGCCGTAAGAATCTTGGATGTCTCAATTGTTTTGGTTTTGCTAATCCTTCTGTATACCTCATACCCCCATCCCCACACTTTTTTGTTGTAAAGATACACTTTAAAAATCTCTCTTTTTAATAATGCTTCAGATCAACTGACCTTAGTCAATTCGCTCAGTGGTGCCAATCTTTTTTTTGTGGTTAAGCACCTACGAGCCACCTTTGGATGTTTTACTAAAGGTGCAAAAGCAAAAAACAAGTGCAAAGGTGCTAAACAAATGTAAGTCGTTGTTGCTGAAATATGTTAAACTCGACCTGAATTCAGCACTGAACAGAATAACAAACACACAGAAAGGTAGGATTTTTCCAAGACTTGCTTCCCCAAAGTGAAAACTGAGAACAGCAGAGTGTAAAGTGACAAAGCAGCAGGAAAGTGTTAATCAACAAGCCACGAGACAGAGCGAGATCGAACAGTTTCGGATTCACAGAGAGAGTGTTTTCCTGATTGTTGGAGCCTCTCAGAGAGAGCGACTGACCTGCAGGAGTAGCAGGAGTGCTGTAAGGTACAGGCTGGAGCCTGTGATCCCCATTCTCCGCGGTGCTCCGGCTCCTTTCCCTGTGCCAGTCCCAGCAGCAATTCACCTGGAACAACCACACTGGCCCAGGTAAGGGTCAGGCCTGCCCAAACAACTCCCCCACCCCACCCCACCCCACCCCCCAAGGGGTGGGGCAAGGAAAGGAGGGACCAGGAAATGAAAAAAAGAACACAAGAACACAAGAACCAGGAGCAGGAGTAGGCCGTCTGGCCCTTCGAGCCTGCTCTGCCATTCAATAAGATCATGGCTGATCCTTTCGTGGACTCAGATCCACTTACCCGCGTTCTCACCGTATCCCTTAATTCCTTTATTGTTCAAAAAAA